CGCATGGAGTGCTATTACTCTGCTCACAAAAAATTGTGGTTTCTCGGAAGCGTCGAGTATGCACCTTCTTCTGCTCCCAATTATAGCAGCGATCTCCTTTTACTATTTCATGTGCCCAAAGATCAATTTCAAGAGATAACCTGCTCTAAACTTTACGCCTTCAATTCCCAGAATCGGTTTTCTATTAACCTTAGCGATGATCAATAAACTATTTGTGCCATTTTATGTTCACTTTTAGCCGTCCTCAATGTACATGTATATACATAGAGGGCGCGTGTGGCGCAGTGGTCGGAGGCGGCGTGCAACACATACCCAGAATCGATCCCTGCGCCCATGGCCCACCAAGCCTTTTATCCCTCCAGGGTCGGCAAATTGGTACCAAACTTGTCTCGGAGGACACCAGCACTGGCTCTATACATCGGTTTGCTACCGCTAGCCATTGTAAAGGCCAGATATGCATCCAATCACCTGCAAACGATGATTAATCAAGTCGAACGCATAGCGCATCCCCAGAGTTTGATCAACGCCTAGAGCTTTACCCTTTTAGCTTTATACACACCTACGTCAGGAAATTTGCATGAAGGCTTTGTAACTTTCTCTAGTTGATGCGTCTTCATCATCTACATAAACTTTTGAGTTGTAGTTGATTCTGTATCCTTTCAACACGGATGGCCTGGCATGTTGACAAGATCTTCCATTAATCTACATTATCGGTCAGGAATTAGTGCACATCCAACTCAATTCCAACCGGATTTCGCGTGCAATATTGGTGTGTAGTGCATTATTCCATGGCGTGAACGTGGTTTTTTGAACCTGAAATCATTAGCACCTTTCAGAATCAAAACCATGGAACTGCTTTCATCAGCTGTTGTAGTTCTTAACGTCGTGAACAGAATGTTGCATCTAACGAGTTTTCTAGATTAGAGTGGGAATTGTTGCTTTGATTCGTCTTATCTGCGCTTTAGGTAAGGATGTCAACCTCATTATCGCAATGATAGCAAATGCATCACATTAAGTACACACCGAAGAATTTTATCTAAATTCTGTAGAAGAGCGGAAATGTTTCTAATCATTTACTTATCACTCCATTTTCTAAGAGGTGAAAGATCACGGATAAAGTTCCGTTTTTTTCTTTTCATTTTGCACGACTCGAAATTCCTTGTTTTCCAATCCCAGCAATGACGTTTCCTCTCAACGTTGGTAGCTTTCCTAACCATGTGAGGACTTGTTCGATAACCTCATTTTTAGTATTAAGCCATTCCTCTCGTGTTCATTCATGCGCATCTGTGTTCCTCCATGTGCGCTGGCACTCAGCTCTTATGAAGCCATTGCCGGCTTCTCTATTTAACGTATCCCACTAAAAGAATCCTAGTGTTTTTGTCTTTTCCAACGAATTGCAACTCTTCTCATGCCTAGTGTTGGATACGCAACTTATTTTATAGAAAAAAGAAACGAAAAAAAGTGGTGGAAACTATTTTCGAAATTATAAATTGTTAATATTGGAGGTTGACGCCTATATCCTGATTGCGGATTTCACAGCCATAGCATGACATACCGAAGGAATAGCAAAGTATCGACAGATAGTACCTCATTCCAAGCCACCTATGGCTTCTTTTAGTAATAGCTGAAGACATTTTTGGACTTGTGGCCTTTTCCATATCTCTATTTCTCTCTTGTCTTAGACTAAGTTTTATTGGCATTTGATAAGTTAGGACATATTCGTCATTTCAGACGCCAACCATGCAGCTGAATTTCGTCGTCTCACAGCCAAGAGTTTTAGCTGGAGAGGTGTTAAACGCCAAGGTAAATATGTCATTTAGTCTCCGCTCTGCTCTAAAGTTTATGAAAAACGCTTTTGTTGTCTTGTAGACAGAATCGTTCTTCCCGGCGATGACACACTGCCAATTTTTCACGAAAACATGTTTTCAAAGTGTTACGATTAAATTTCAAGCTGGTTGAAGTCTTCTTCGTTCAGCAACATTTCACTGTTTTCCTAGTTTTAAAAATAACTGGTTAATTTAATGGTTTTTTCCAACGGACCTTTACGACCTTTTTTCGTTCTTAACACAGTCAGGTTATTTTGTTAAGTGCACTGTGTTTTGACTGATAATAGGTCGTACGCAAAATTCTCGGAGGAAAAAAAGGTGGTAAAATGGCCTGAAAGGAAGGACGGATTCAGTACTGAATCGTAAATAGTCATCACCAAAGTAGATCGATATTTCCACCAATTATAAAACAGATTACTGTAATGTTTCATCAGTCCGCAACTAAATCTAGTGAATGTGGTATCTGCATTGTGCTTTTGTTCTTAAAACAATGAAGAACGGGTATACCACGAAATACTGTAAGCATGTCTTTTGCGACCCAGTGGGTACAGTTTTAATCCAATTGCGGCAATTAGCATCGATTTCAACACTCATCTTCCTGGAAATGATTTAGAGTTCAAGTTGGAAGTTTAAGCAAATATTCATGGTGAGTTTTATCATTTCAGATTAAACCACTATGAATCAATCATCTTTGCCAACAAAGCCTAAACAAACATCGTTTAGCTTTGCTCTTTTTTTTCGCCGAGGCGTTATTTCGAAAGGTGATTTTCGTCCAGGAGAACGCGATGGTGGCTCTGAAAGATTTACTGTGTATTCAACTGCTGCTGGGTTTCCGTTGAAAAATTTTGAAGTTCTTCTAACTTTTTCAAAATTTTCAATGTTCGAATTCTGAACAATGTCTCAACTTTTACTTACTGCCTATGCTTTTTTCATGCAGGGTGCTATGTGAAGTACGAGCAAGGAGATGCTGAAATATGAGCAGAACTCGGATCCCCAAATGAGCTTCGAACACGCTATCGCCCTTACCGGAGCTCACGTGCTACCCACCACGCCAACCAAGAACCTTGTTTTGCCCCTGAACAATTTTTGAAAGAATGTTTTACAGTAGGTAGGGTATGAAGGATAAAACGCTTGGTGTTCATCAATCCCTGAAGCGTCATGCACTCACTTCATTAAATATCGTTAGAAGTGATTAACTGCATATCTAGCATATACAATGACTTGTAACGGTCTACTTATTTACGAAGTCAGTGCTGTCTTCTTCCCAGACATGGCTGGTACCAATTTCCCGACCCCGGTGGAATGAAAGGTTGGCGACCCTGGGGTGCAGGATCGAGCCCGTGTGTATTGCACGGCATCTCTAATCACTGCGATACACACGCTCCTTTACAATATGTATATATATATACATATAAATATACGTAAATATATACATAAGTAACCGAATATATTCGCTTATTTATTTCTTTATTTGTTTATTTATTCATTTATTTACTTGTCGATAACCTTAGAGCAGTAGGGGCAGCAATGTCTTACCTTTAAGTCTACAAAGCTACCGCTCCGCAAGCACGAGTTAATTGACAATTGTTGAAAAAGCAGCGTTGCCGTGAAGAACGAAAATGATGAAATGGAATCTCTTCTACACAAACAACAGCCCTCACTTATAAGCTCTTTATCTGTGGCGATTGATTAAAGTAGCATCAATGTTCATTTGTGTATTTATCATCTCGTCGATGATTACGAATAATATCAAGCCTTTTCCGAAGCTTATAAAAAAGCAATTAGCCGCCATCTCAAACGTTCGACTTATCGTATGATGTTTATAGGAACCGAAACAGTAAGGGCTTTTGCCCTGTAGTTGTTTCATAAATTTTGACAAATCTCTATCTACCCTCAAAAGTACTGCCTTTAAAACGAAATACACAGTTTTGGGGGTATTGACGATCCTGGGTTCAAGATTTCGTTCGCGTTGTGGCGTATTCAGTTAGGGTAGCCATACATTTGAGTTGGTTACAAAAGTTCAGTATAATTCTGTGTCTAAAAACCAAATGCTAAACTGCGAAAACTACTGAGGAATTTTTGAATTAGGCGGCGGACAACACAGTGGTAGTGATGGCCGTCATCACGAGCGCAGTGCTACTTCGATTCCACTCCGGGCCAACCGAGCCTGTCATCCTTTCAGTGTCGGGAAATTGGTGCCGGACTTGTTTGGATAAAAATCACTCTCTGCAATCAAATTTGGAACGCTCCAGCTCGGATATGTCAGAACTCCAAGGAGAACTGCTCGTCCAGCATTCTACGGCATTTAAGATGAAATGAAAATCCGCAAGCAGCAACCGAACCCACACGTAAAAAACTAGGAAGACTTTCGTGGACGATGGGTGCAAGGAAACGAATTGGATGTGAAAAGTGCTGGGATCCACACAGTAGACGCGAAGATGGGTCGAATAAAATAAAATAAATAAAATAGTTCCCAGGATCGACTCTCCATTAAGCTTGGCATTGGATTATAAATTCAAAAACAAACTGATGAATTACTTAATAACCTACAAGTACACTGCAAGTATATAGTATAATAAAAGTCTCATGTATGGTTAAAAAAACAGCGACTTGTTGATCAGTGCCGAGGCTAACGGAAAGCGGTCCTGGAAAAACTTGTACTGCTTTCGAAAGAATGTTAAAAGCTGTATAAAAGCTCTCGGCGTTGATCAATCCCTGAAGAATGCGTCGTGCATTCGACTTCATTAAGTATCGTTGCGATTGAACGCATATCTTGCCTTAACAATGACTCGCGGTGACTTATCGATGTATCGAGTCATTGCTGCTACCTTCACAGACAAGTCTGGTACCAAATTGCGGACCTCTGATGGATGGAACGCTTGGTGGGCCATGGGCGTTGGGATCGATTCCGCGTGTGTGTCGCAGCGTCGCCTCCAGTAAGTAAGAATGTTATACAGTGAAAATTCTTAGAAAGATATAGTGATACTAATGCGTAAAGGAGATATTCATCTTTTAATGATAAGTGTTTTTGTTCAACTAGTAAGTTAAGATGTAATAAAGCAGAGCGAAGAACTATTAAACCTTGCGGTGAATGTCGCTTTTTCACTGCACATCTGAGTTGTTCTCATATTTGAAGGATGTTCGACGGATGATGGCTCGACACTACGAGCTTTAATGAGAGATGTCGGTCTCGGCGATGAAAATATGATGTATCTTTTTCAACATAAAGATTTTGTCGGTAAAAGGCTCAATATCTACGATATAGTGCTGATGGAAAAGCCATCGAAGACTGTAAACATGCATGGCTTGGCCTCATAGGAAGTAAATTTCGCATTATCTTTCATCCTAATATTCAGCGAATGACTCAACTGGGAATCAGTAAACTTCATTCGTTCCTTTTCATGCGAAATATGGTCAGTTGGGGCGGCTTGCTTCAGGGACACAGCGATCAGAGCCACACTTTTGGAGTGATCTCCTTTTCCTAATGACTTTCTCCAGAACTCAGCTACTGAGACCTCACGGGACTGCTTTGTGGTATAGTTTTATTCATAACTGGGTTTTCAGACAAGGGTCTCCAGCTCGTTTTAAATTTGAGTCAAACTTTCAGAAGGGTTAGTCTTCCGCTATGCATCACAGTCCGACATCCGGGATATATCCAATGTCACCAGCCACGATAAGGCGGTAAAAACCGTTGAGGTAGAAAGAAGTGGTGATATATATTAACTACAGCTACGCCCCTTGACTTTGCAAGTGGACATGGGGTTTATTGTAGTTTTCTACGATCCTTAGTTGGCAGAATGCAGTATTTTAAGCGTATGAAATTGAATGTACGACTTCTATTTTAAAGGTTCTTCTGGATTCAGCCGATCCAGACACCGTCATTGAAAGCTTAACAGCCGAAATGAAAGGAGTTGGAAAGACAGGTTGGGTGAACGTTCACACTGATAAAATATTCGAGACAGAAAAGGTGTGTTTCGTTGTTAACATTAATATTTGATTTGAAACCTTGTTTTATAACGAGTCTGACAAATTCTGTCTAGTACCTTCGTTTTTTAGTTTCGCAAAAAAAAACACGTTACTTTGTCATTCGTAGTAACTGAAATAGTTAACTCCCACGTCCGACTTTCTATTAACCTCGGCACTGATTGAGTAATTCTTTACATTTCTGCTTAGCAAAATAAGGTGCTATTTTATTTTTTTTATTTCTTTATTTGCACGCAAGCTGACGTTTCGGCAGATTTTGCCTTCCTCGGAGCCTGGAAAGTCCAAGTTGACAGCAATCTACCCGGACAAGCACTTGCATAACCAAGCAGAGTAAACGCTAAACCAAGGTTTCAATCACATTGAACACAGAATAGCTTCTTTGCACACTTACCGCTTTTTATGAGTCTTCCACTGAGCATGTCACGTGGAGACCAACTGCACTGAGTCCACATGAAAGCGTAATATGTTCATCCCATCAGAATAACAGGCTTATATACTGCCCAACATTACTCGTGGTAATGAGACATTCCTCCCTGCGGTTCATTCTCGGATTCTCGGAATTAGTCCGGAACGCCTCGACAGTTTTGAAATAGTTGTTTTTATTTCCAAAACAGTAGACATATTTTAACTTAACAGTGTCATCTGTGCCACTAGAAATCTGGTTTTCTTCTTCAGTTATACATGCACGCGCAATTGGCCTTATGCGCACCAGGAACGTCGATCTCTGTCGGAAAGCACCAGTTTCCGCTTCAGGTAGTGGTTGCATTATGCTCCTTTTCTTTATTCAATATATTGTTAGTAGTGCGAAGTGATAAACGTTCATTGAGTAGGACTGAATGCGGTAGCGGAACCATTCTCAGATCAGACCGAAAATGAATCATTAAAAAATGGAAAGATAAAGAGTAAAGTGTTCGGCCTTGATCAAGCCATGCGGTTTGCGTAATATGCTTATGGGTTTGAGTTCATCAGCATATTAGAGGTGATCGAATGTATATCTGTTCCTGACAACGTTTTATGGTTGTCTACCGATGTGTTAGAGCAGTGTTTTGAACCTCTCGGACCAGTCTTGTACCAATTAGTCGACCCCAGAGAGATGGAAGGCCTGGTAAGCCTGGGTCTAGGAGTCGAACCAATAATGTATACAGCGTGTACTGCAGGATACCTCGAACCACTGCGCGACAAAGGCCCTCGGATTGGCCTAAAAATTTGCTGAGATGTAGATAAATTTGTTCAGATTACTAAGTCCTATCTATTAAGTCGATATAATGGTAAAGAAGTTCGTACGACTGCGCATAGTTAGCCCTTTCTAACGACATTGTCTACTGTTCAAAAGCACATTTCATCCAGTCTTATTGGGCATTGTGTGACAATTTCAAAAAACTTTGTATTCCCGCCGAGTGGCAAGAATGAAGGTGCTTGTTTTAATGGGAGTTATGACAACATAAGGTTACTATTTGTCTTTTTGTTAATTATGGAATGACGGGGAAATTTCATTTTCATTTCGCGTCGGCTTGATATGTTGCTCGTCTAGTAAGAGTTTCGTCTGAAGTTCCAAGTAACGCACACACGTTTCCATGTCGTGATTCCGTGCTCAAGAAGGAAGCTTGCCACTTTGAGAATAACTTTCTTCTAGAACGATAACTATTTCCGATGATGGCCCAGTCAAGGATAGGACTTCAGATGAACGTGCCAAACTCTTTTTTAGCACGATGGTCCTACTGGAAGGTGAAACTAGATGGATACCCGATATCCATGAAGACCACAGTCAGTTACAGCAAGGAGCTTTTATCTTATAAATCAATTTCGTCTCTGGAGAAGTATACAATCGCTTTTGGTCAGCGTTTATCAACCTTTTTAGCCTAAAAAAGGACCGGGAAGTAGTTTTGTTCTTTTTTTGAGAAAACACCACGCTCGTCAAATGTTGACATTTTTTGAAGTAATCTAAACTTTAGCCAGTTTTAGTAATACTAGCGGAAACACCTGCAGGTTTTTTATTCTGTCTGATAGAGCCATATCGGTGATATAATAGAAGATAGGAAGAAGTTCCTGAAATTTTCACGCTTTAACTTGCTCCAGACCATGACTGAAAACCTTTATTTAGTGAATAAACTAGTACAAAGTACAATTGATAAGTGTGTACGGCTTACACAGAAATAAAAGTTACCTTTCAACCTGAACGCTAAGTAACTTCTCCATTACATTGATGATGACGGATGGGATTGCATTGAGGTAGAAGAACAAAAGAAGGGAAGAACAACAAACTAATAAGATGATAGCTGGACATGTTATGCATTTCCTCCAAAGCGATGAACTACGTACTGTAGACGTTGTGAAACTAATACTGACAGCACGTGGTATGAGACCTACCATTCTTGAATCATCGGGTTCTACTGAAGAAAAGTGCAACGGTGACTTTTATCAAGTGGTACAAAATAGACTTCCAACCACTCTGTCCTCACCACAGTGATGTGTTAAGCCATAAAGAGTGGTATTAGGAAGTAAATACACAGTGGATTTTAAACTTTCAAACGTCGTATTTGTTAATGTCTATTTAGTGGTGTATTTCCACCTCCGTATTTGGCACCACTTCTTGTCTTTCCTAATATTTTTTCCGTTCTTCCTTAAAAGGTAGAACATCCAGATTGATCTGATATTTCTTTCTGTCATGCAGATGATGATTCCTGAGAGTGTTCCAAGCAGCTATGAAAGTCAATTCGGTTCCATTCGATATCATGTCAAAGTGGTATTGACAGCAAATAGTGACCAAGTAAGACATTCGATTTCTCGTATTAAATGACTTATAACATTTTTAATGAACATGGTGAAACTACTTGAACTGATCGTGATAGAAAGTGACATATACGGGATGAGTACTGGTACTGCACAACAAGAATTTCAAGTGTAATACGCCTAGATGATTTAGAACGTGGACAAAATCCATCGCTATCACGGATCCTGTGTCCATGATGCTTTTTAGGCTTCATGTTCGCGATTGTTTCCAATTGTTGTCGTAGCTCGTTCGTTTTTTGACGATGTACCGATGAACGTGCTATCTCCGATTGATTTTCGAGATGAGGTAAGTTCGAGGCGAGTTCGATAATACCGAAGAAGACGACAGGAGACACTCAGTGTTTGTCCGCTCATGTAACTGCCTCGTGCGCCATCACAACAAAAAATTCCCCGTCATCGATCAGAATTCACTTTTACCATTACCTCTTACTCTTTTTCTATTCCTCACATAGCACTTGTTTTCCCATTCGCTGAACTGCTCGATTACGAATGAACGTTCCGTCGTTTCTTGTATGTCATTACGTGAATGCTGTTAATGGGCGAAAAGAAACATACTATGAAAGATGACGCTGACCATTTTCACGCGTCTGAAGCTTCTCACAGCATTTGCTTTCAAGTAGTCGGCATCGCTTTAAAATATAAAAGCTTCCGGCGTTGATCGGTTTGTGAGAAACGCGCTATTCATGGGACTTCATCAAGCATCGTAGAGGCGATTGAATTCGTATCTAACCTAAGCAAGGACTCACGGCCACCTACTATCGAGCCAGTGTTTCTATCCTGAAAACAGTTTTATAGGTTGACTTCACATGCTGTTCGTTACCACTCGGATGTGTATCGCTGATGGTTTCACTTCCGAGAACAATATTCCGACTGGGAGAGGTGAGCGCTCCAATTCTAGTTCTTACAAAGTAGAATGACGATGAATTTCAGACGGTTGAAGCTCAAGTGACCGTGAACAATCGGACACGAAAAGGGCTTAAAGATTGTGCGCTTCAGTTAAGCATGAAAACTCAGTTCGAAGCGATGAGCAGGTGTCTTCCTTACACTTTTCCTACGATTTTCTGCAATAGTTTCCTCAGTTACGTATTTCTTTTTCTGTCTTCTTCTTTTGTTTTAAATTGTAATAGCATCATTTTTTGGGATCCCGTGTAAATTAAATAACATGGCGTAAGTTGGTTTTTATGATTTATGGATTTATGAACTATAACTGACGTTGCAAAGGAAACAAATACGAATGGGGAAATTATAGCTTGTAAATATGAGCTCTCTATCTACCAACCCCCTATTTATCCAAGTATTATCACCATCAGACGCATGAGGCGCAATGGTCGGAAAATTGGTACCGAACTTCTCTGGAGGGGATAGCAGCGCTGACTCGATACATCGGTAGGCCACCGCGAGTCATTGTGAAGGCCAAATATGCATACGATCACCTCCAAACGAAAGTCAAATACATGGCGCATCTTTAAATGATTGATCGGTGCCGAGAGCTTTAATCTTTTTTATCCTTTATTAACACCATCATACTTACTTTGACACTTGGATGGTCCGCCTTCACGAGTTGTGCAGACCCCAGCACACTTGTCAATCGTTTCTTTCCCTCTCAATCGTCGTCCATGGTGGCGGTTTTACTCTAGCATGGTGGCGCTTACGAGCGTCATACAGCGATCTGTAAAAAAAATGCTGCTACGAGTAAAGCCGACTAACTTTGGTTACGAACACGTCCGCTTGGCATACTTTTTACATTTTTACGCTTGTTTTTAAATATTGTATATCATATGTATTGCTTTATGATTTCGACAAACTTCGTGATGAAACACTAAATTCCAACTAAAAGTCGATTCAGATATGAACATGTGAATGAAAAGAAACTGATCGAACAGGCAATCGAGTTGGTTCCATTGGGAAACGTGAGATCCAGACACAAACAGGTGCATAAATCTTTGCGATAATTAGAATTCTCAGCTCGGTCTTACTGTAACTTTATGGCGCAAATAAATTGTTCTTTTGTGATTGGATTCTTCTTCGTACATTTCTTCAGGTGTTTTCGAAGTGTCACATTCGAATACCTGAAGGAGTGCCGCCTACCCAGAATTATAATAGAGAAACAGGCGATACATCCATAATTACCATTCACTACGTGCTGAAACTTGTCGCCCTGCCAGGCAAGATTTTTTGTTGCGAAAATATTTCATGAAGTAAAGTTCATTGGTAGGGATACATATTAATTATCACCACTAAACGATCAATGGTCTTGTGGTAAGCAACCAACGTAGGGTACAGTAACTATTATTGTACTTCAGAAGCGATTAAAGCACTGTTATAGGTGCCGTTCAACGAGCACAAGGCCCTGGTTCGACATTCCCATGCCAACCAAACCTCCCATCCATCCTTGGTCGGGGAACTGCTACCACACTAGCCTGGGTTGAGCTTACTCCGATCCAGAAACGCTGAAGATTTCTTGTAGTGAGAAAGTGAAAACGCCCTAGTACGACGACTATACCAGGACGACATTCATAAAGAAAAACAAAATTCTCAAAGAATACCCGAACTAACGCACAAATACGACAACCTTTTTGGATGGTGGATCCGAGGAAATTACTCGAATGCATGAAGTGCTCTAATTTACAATCTATGCACGATTTAGTGTCGGTTCATCTATAATAAAGATAACAAATAATTAAACCAAGCAAGTGTCATGTAATTCCTTTTACAGTTTGGCTGGAGACCTGCCGGTTGTGCAAGATTTTCTCATAAGTGGTAGCAGTAGATAAACACGATAGCGCTTTCACATATGATCAATGGAGGGAATCGTGGGCCTATTTTGATCGTTAATGTTACTTCCCTAGTGCGCACTGTAGTTACCGACACCAAGAAACATCCTCGGCGATATAAATCATAAGCGCGTGAATAAATTTTACAGTAAAGTGAACATTACCATATTCTTGATTATAAATAGAAATACCACTGAACAATTGTTTCTGGGTTTTTGCTTGACCGAAACAAACGAAATTTCACCGGGTAGCCACCTAACGCCAGAGTACAGCAGTTGACCGTTGTTAGCCGATGAGATCCAGTCAACTTGTCTTCCGATCAGATTTGCTGCATATCTAAATAGAATACTGGGCTGATTTGTCTATGAAAAGCTATATAATTGTTTTTGTAGTTATAATTTCACTATTGTTCTTTTCCTTCCAACGGTTTACCACCTCATCGTGGCTGGGAGGTATTCCTGGGTGGCGGACTGCGATGTACAGCGGGGCATTCGTTCCCCCGGCGGGGTCTCCCAGGCTGAGAAGCAGTCCGGCGTTTCCATCAGGAAGCCTGGCTAAGAGTAAACCAACACCAGGATCCACCACCGCCCTGGTATAAAAGTCGCGTGGTGGCAAATCTCCCTCTGATCCACAAGGGCTGCGACTACCTGTCGTGATGGCGACCTGAGCAGACTTTAGCCACGCTGTCCTCGTGATTCTAGGAAACCATAATAGCTTAACCAGCAAATCTCCGAAAAATGCTAATTGCGCTGGGATCCGCACAACTAGCGGGGATGGGCCGTTCAAGTATCAAGTACTGTTCTTCTATTCTAGACACCATAATGTTGAGGTGAAATTAAGTCATATTCGATCATTCTTTTCTGTGGTTTTTCTTATGGCAGCATTGAAACGAAAGCAACATTCTCAGGTCTAGATGGTCTATATATGTAATTTCGTGGCACGTTGTAATTTTTTTGCCGTTTAAGGAATCGAATACGAGATTCCTTTGGTCGTCACCTCGATGGGCTATGCTGATTCGGCGAAAGACGCCGCATTTGTGTTGCACAGCCAGCGGAAGAGCTCAAGCTGGCAACGAACGACACGGAATATTGTTGAATAGGAAATCTTTGCAGTTGAGGACTATTTCTAATTCATTAACAATTCAATATCGAAATGCGTTTTTTTCGCTTGTAGGGGCTACCACGGCTGATTCCAGAATTGCTTAGCCAGTTGGCGTGTCAACCCTATTTCTCGCTTCGATAGCACACCTTCGAACACGTCGACTGGAGACATCGTAGAACTTTGAGGTTAACTTGTCACTACGACTCGACAACAACAGCGTTCTCAATCCTCATAATCTCTGCAATGCGAAGAGCAGCTTTATCGACAGAGCAGCCTTAATGTCATTTTCAAAAGCGCTTTGAAATTTCTTTGTAAATTCAGGACATTCCTGAGATTATTCCATGTTTAGCGCCTTGACGTCACCTTTCCTGATAGTGAATCAACTTGACCAATTGTTGCTCAACGATTTCCTTGATCTTGAGAGCGTACCAAATAATTTTCTTTCATTAGAATTGTATCCTTTGTTGGACTACTCACTACAGTTGTATTGCGAGCTCGTATAAATATTCATTATTTTGAGTTTTACTTTAGGGGACTCATTTTTATAACTGCTGTTCGAATCTCAGCACTTCTTGCATTCGATTGGATCCCTCGTATCCATCATTCATGATGGCCTTCGAACTAAAGAAAAACGCTAGAAAACTGAAAAATCATGCAAACATTATGATTGAAGATGACAACTATTCGCAGTACATGCACTCAAGAAATATATACTTTGGAGACCGTGTTGGGAAAGCGGGATCCCATCGAAATTATCAGCAACATGAGATATTATGGTAACATGGAGCCTTTCAAATAGTTACAATGATTGTAGCACAGTACACTGTGGTGTCGTGCAATGCTCAATGGATCGATTGCTGGCGCAATCGCGCGCCTTGGAATCAGCAATCCTTTCATCCGTTCGTGGCCGTAAAATTGCTCCTTATCTAGGAGCTTGAACGCACTGACGTGATACATCAGGCGACTAGAGGAGATACGTATTCAATCAGCTCTACGTTCCACCAATGAATTTGAATGCATGGCTCGTTCGTCAAAGATTGGTCATAGCGGAATGCTTCAACCTCTATTCTTCTAATGTCATATATTTTGCCAACAGGCATCAACATGCTGACGGCGCGAACGACCTAGCTGAAAACCATTTTTGTCGAGACGACTGTTGTTTCCCATCCCCTTAACGACCAGCAGAAGATCAACTGTCGTTTTTCACCGGTTTCATTCTTCGCTAATCCCACGAACGCGGGAATCCGGAACATTGGGGGTGTTTAGAAGCTTCTTTCGGAGCGAAGTGACGAGATGCAGTTACTCGCTAGATTGGTTCACGTGAGAACAATTCATTTTCAATTTCAATGTTGCTGCTATCGTAAAGTGATCGCGGAAAACCTTTGTCTGGTTTGTCATATTATCGATAAAATCACGGTGATTTAGTGCATCGACTCGACGTGCGACTACGAAATATGCTTGAAAAAGAAGCAATGTCATCGACGACAAAGTACGTAACAAATAAATTGGAATGCGAAGATAAAACAAAGTTGCAAACAAGGCGGACTCGTAAATCAGTTCTGGAATCACCTTTGTTTCTAAAAATACGCTGTTTGTACAACTGCAAGAAGTTTCAGTTTGTACTTTCTAGAGGTGTAATTCTACTAGAACCCAGACGAGTTATGACCGCTTTACGCATTAGTTCTAAACCAGTTACACTTTAAAAGACAGTTTTCGACATTCGCTAGTGCCTGAGCCAGCACACTCTACCTACTGCTATTACACACCTCAAGTTCTAAATAAATGTTCTTGAGATCACAACTTATTGTACTTTTCGCTCTGACAGGAGCATGTCTTGAATCCGAAGGCGAACGAAACGTCACTACAATCAAAAATGGGTTTGTAGAGCGGCACATCGAAGACCATCTGCAGCCCGACTTTCGTTGCCGTCTCAGTACTTCCGTTAGCGGATAACGCTAAAATAATCCGGATAATGTGAGTGACGATCGTGAAACCAAAATCAGCGCCGCACGTAGATGACACGCAGATCCGGTTTTTCTCATTACCCATGCCGTTAATACTTTTTTCAGTGAGTCCTTCCCATAACTTTCCGAAATTTTTTTTCAACCAAAGTCTATGGTCGACACAGGTGCACTGATCATTCAGGTTGTTTGTTCTGCTGCAACCTTACCACGATTCAAGTTGCTGGAGATTCCGACAGTATGATTGCCTGAACATTCCACGAGTTTTGCAATAATAACATTTTTCGACGCTGCTTTTTGACTCCACCAGTTTTTTTTTCTTACTGTAAAAAACAGTTCTCCCTTTTTTACACGTTCATAACTGAAGAAATGTGAAACGATAAGCTCGAGATACGATCTCCTCCTAAAGCCCTCTTTTCTTGACTATCACTGCACTATCTTTCTTGAATAAACGTTGTCAGCTAATAACTCACCTAGCGCTACTTGCTGTTTCATCATTTTCTTAATATGCAGGCGAAAAAATGATGGCCTTCCCACAACTCCATTTGAGAAATACTGTTAATATAACTCTGCCGAAACGAATTTCGCTACGAGAGTTGGAACAAGTTAGGACTCTGATTGCTAGAAATGGAAGCTATGGAGGGCAAAGTCATCAGTGTAGGGCTCAGAATTTTTCATATTTGCTCTTATTTTGTTTCCCAATGTTTACTATATTTTAGCACTTCCCATATTAACAGGAATCTGAAATGAGTGGGCTTCTCTGATTAGATTGAGCTTCTACATATCCTCTATAGAGCCTGTTGTAGGTTACCTGCTTGTAGAATCCTTTCATACTCTTCTTGCATGCACCAATCAGAGCTCTTTTCAGTGAGATTGAAATCATGTCTTAGTCTTTTTTCTGTTCTGGTCATACAGATGTTTAGCTGAGTAGATTGGAGTCAACTTGATCTTCTAGGCTCTGAAGAAAGCTAAATCCGCCAAAACTTCAGGTTTTTCGTCAATTAACAACATTCTCTTTGCTCATGAAAAATACATTGAGTTGTTTGCCGATGCTGAGATCAATAGGAAGTCTGTCTTGGCAATTACTTCTTTACCAGTTACCAGTGTACCTTTCGTGGCTCGCAGATCATCTTATGAGCCTCATGCCTATCCACATCACCAAGTCAAGATATGTCCCCACTAGAATACACTAGAATTGGGTGCGCGTAGCCGACTTTAGCGCACGATGTGAATGCCTTCATCCTGCAGTGGTATTTTTTCTCTGGAGTGGATTTCCTGAATATCTTTCTAGACGCCATATGAAAATCTTCGGCGCACACTTTTTTTCTATTTCTTTAGTTTTACTGACAACATTTCTGTCGGCAAATTCGAGTAATCATTGATTTCTGATTTCGTAAAACTTGTCTTGTCTGTTGAATGGCGGCATGTCAGTCAAAAAATTCTTGATGAGTCAACAACTTGAAATGTTTCTCTCTTTCCATATTTTAAGACTCAGTAGACCAAATAAAACCGAAGTTGCGCTGTCAGTAACTTTTCTCCGAAACGTTCCACGTCGTTGGCTCTTCTTTCCATTTCCATGCCACCTCCCTTTACGTTGTACTTTGGCACCTCGCAGTGCCTGAATCTGTCCCTGCATAATTCAAGTTTTGAACATTGAACAAACATATCTCGGTAAGAAGTGAACTACGTCAATGGAAACAAAAACGATCGAAATCTTTGGCTTCTTGCAAACCATGCAGAACCATTGCCAGTCTGTCAAAATGGAATCCTGATCTTCTGAAGCCCACACAACATAGCTTCTCCATCGAATTGCTAAGCGATTATACAACCGAGGTTTTGCTTTATTTATTTCTATTTTATTTTATTTGACCCGTCCCCACGTCTACTGTGCGGATGCCAGCGCTTCTCACATTCAATTCGTTTTCTCGCATCCATTGTTCACGAAGATCTTCCAACTTTACGTATGGCTTCGGTTGCTGCTTGAGGACTTCCATCTCATCTTGAATGTCGTAGAATCCTGGTCGAGCGATTCTCCGTGGAGTTTTAGCCGGGCTAGAGCTTTCCAAATTAGATTGCAGAGAGTGATTTTCTTTCCACAAGTCTGGTACCAATACCTCGACCCCGGAGGGATAAGAGACTTCGTTGTCCAAGAGCGGAATCGAACTGGCACCATGCTCGTCATGACGGGCATCACTCAGTGTGTTATCCACCCCTGAGGTTTTGTTTAATATGACCCAATTTCAGGATATATTGACGGTTTTGCTGATTCCATGCTTATTTTTAGGATAACAAAATTTCGTAATAGTTTTCCTGTTTCGTTTCAATTTTAACACTAAATAAAATTTGTAATAGAAATAACACTTTTAAAAGGAATGCAGACGCTTAAAACGATGGAGTAGCCTTCATTCTATGAGCCTGCCAGTTGTTCTCAACTTTTCAACCACTCCATTTATAGAAGAGTTATCATAATTCGCTGAAAAGCCAGCCTACTCTGCCATGTGTTAGGCCAATAAAGACCAAACCCCACTTTCTGTTAACAATTTCTGTCATTCCATTCTCAGTAACCACAGCTATGGTGAGAAAATGATGAATATAAAAAGTGGTTCCCACAGCGTGCGAAAACGACTACCAAATGAAGACCGTACCGTGGTTGTACGGTACACGATTTTTCTCACTACGCACTGTGTTCACTTCGATGTGTTCCAAATCATGGGAGAAAACAGTAGAACCTAAAGAATGCCAAGAAACAACACACCACTGAAAGAATCGGTAAGGTGAGCAAAATACGAAATCATAGGGTGTGGCTTACAAAAATTCCCAATCACGAAAAGGGGGTGAGCCCTTTGTTGGAATCGAGAGATTTGGAGTCAACTCGTGACGACTAGGTGATAAACTGCACATCATATACATGACCGGTACTCGTCCATAAAGTCACCATGCAGTCAGCTACTCTTTAAACTCAACCTTTTCAAATTTTAGCTTTCAAAGACTTTTTCTGGAGTGTTTTTTGTACCTCTCCCTTTTCAAGTTATTAACATGCATTTCTGTTTCATATCTAGACCGTTCTTGACGTGATGCTGCGTCATCTGAGAATTTCAATACACTATGAGTAAACAGCCTTTGAGAGAAAACGAACCACCTTTCCAAACGATCTAAGTAGGTGCCTACAGTTCATGGTGTCCTTTAAACCTTTTCATAGCCTCTTTGCTTTTAACCACTTAGAAGCGTGTACATTGATTTAAGCGGTTGGTAGATTTCAACCCTGCATGACACTCATCATTGCAGCGGCGGCGGAACCCACCGACAATAGAATGAGTTCCTTTTGTTTGGCTTTCATATTTCATTCGACTTATTTCAATTATAAGGAAAAAAAAGCGATATCGTTTGAGTCATATTCCCAGTAGAAAGAGTATCTTAACTGTGTGCTTAACTCGTTGACCATCTTGTTTCCTTTATAATAACTTTTCTCAGTAGATTGTTGGTAGCCGGTAAGTATTTTTGTGTTAAATCTTCTGTAAAGGAATCTATCGCCATTCTTTTGATATCTTGCTATGGATCGTTTGGTTGCCTTCACAACGAACATGCAGCATTCGATTCATTCTTCAACTTAGTTAAACTCTTTAACACTTTTTGATAACTTTACTCATTTACTTTCACGTCACTTATGCTTCGATTTCTTTTCTTTGCGTTACTCAAAGCACGATCTCATACTTCAGTCAAAATGGGACGAGCGAAGACGTGGTATCGCGAAAATCTACTGCTAATTCTGACTATAAGCGGTGTGGTACTCGGCGTCGTAGGCGGCGGATTACTACGGTATCTTTTGCCTTTGGAAAAACTCACCATTTCTCAAATTTCAGCGCTTGTTGAGGTACCTGGATCTGTCCAAAGAAGCGATAACGTTTATTGGATTTCCTGGCGAATTGTTCATGAACATGTTAAAGGCGATAATTTTGCCGCTAATCGCCGCAAGTCTAGTATCAGGTCCGTTGAATAACCTGTATGATCTCTTTTCCGCAATGAAGAAAACGCTCAATTCCGATCGATATGCACAAAATTCCTGGTTTCCTATTTATACATTTATTTATGTGTTCCATTATTTGCAACTATCTCCATTATATCGAGGGTTTATCCCTGAAATTCATGAGCTTACGTGGCACTCCAGAGATGACAGATGAAAGGTTTAGAGCATTTCAAAACCGATCTTAAGAGTAAGTAAACTGAGGAGATCGCCTCTTTGTCTCTGCGTCGTCGGATTAATTTGTGCTTTCCAAATGCATATGCAAATAATGCTTGCGTTTTTAGGAATATTGCAAACAAAAAAAATTTAAACTTAATTTTAATTTAAATTTAAATAATTTAACAGTGTTCAATTCCACCAAAGACCTAGATTCATGGTATCGAGAGGTAAATACGTTGGACACCGGTCCGAGGTCGTTTTCAGCAATGAAGCCATATCTGAACTGCGGTAGAGCTCAATAAGTTACCCTTAGCATGGTTGCCACAGCGGATCCTGAGGGTCTTCTGAAGTCAAAAACACTAAAAAAGCAAGCCTCCTTGTGAAAATGTTACTCCATTGTTGCCCCTCAAAGCAGCAGAGACCATCACTTAGCATGCAAGGCATACCGTACGCGCACTATTCTCTTCGTGAATTCAACTGTATTGTAAATGATATGAATTGCTCATTTAACTGCCCTATTATTGTTTTTTAGGTTTAAATACTTCAAAGCTTGTTTCAAATTGGTTCAAAGATAAGACATTATAAGAGACGTTTCTGTAAGAGTCCATGTCGCTTCATATTCAAGGGCTGTCTCAGCTGGATATTCGAACTTCCGGAAAACTCGGACGACTTGCCCTCTCGTACTATATGATTACAACTGTCCTTGCCGTTGTGGTATGGTTTTTATGCATTCAACTTATAGTGGATTTTGAATTGAGAACAATGATTTTAATTTTTGGAAGTATAAATGATTATTGAATGGCGTTATACTCTCGTAAAATACTGATTCGAAAATTAAGCTCGGAATTATCTTGGTCACAATACTGCATCCAGGAGATCCCAAGCAGTACAAGGAAGAAACGATGGATAGTGGTGTGATGGTTAAAGGGAGCACCACAGACAAACTTCTCGACCTTCTTAGGTGAGTAAAGCAACAGTGTAGCCCAACCTTACTTGCTAGTCACCTATTTTTGAGCATTTAACTCCTCTAAACGCAGTCCTACTATTTCATTCCTGCTTATCTTGGAAATAAAAGAACTTCAATAGACAATAAACATTAATGACAAATTATTCTGTTCTCAACATATTAAGAAATATTTTTACCCTCTTCAGAACTACGTTCTAGTTTTGTTAATATTTTTGTAATAAAGCAAATCTTCTCATCAAGTAAATCATCTTCTCATTTTCCCTACTTTTAGTTCGCTGACATGTCGTGGCTATAAAGAGATTCTGCATGTTTGGTTACAATCTAAAGTGAGGATTTCGTTCTTGAGCAGAAAATAGTTCGACATCCTTATGTGGATGCCGAGCTAAGAGCAAATCATTGGTAGAGCGAACCGTTGCCCCGCTGTATAGTCGCAAAGCAGTAAATCATCTTCTCATTTTCCCTACTTTTAGTGCTTTATTACAAAAATATTAACAAAACTACCACGGATTTTTGAGAAGGGAATAAATAGGTTAACGGGAACTAGATTAGCCTCTATACGTCGCACACTGAACACTTATCATTCCTGTGGAAAACATCTTGTTAGAAGATATGTACGCTTTCTCATACTCTCGCTTGTAGTTTATCTTCTCACTTATATGAAATACTACCACACTCTGGCGCCATCTTCCATCCTTGTCCTTCGTTCCAAGGAAAAACTGGTATTGTCATTTACTGCTTACTAGTTGGCACAACTGATAACAGAGAACAAGACACATCGAGTAATACCAGTTAGAGGATGGCATAGAACGATCTTTCTGTGAACGTCAAATGGAGCTATAATTGCCTAGAGTACAATAATTATCAAATTTGAACAGATAGTCAGCGGTTTTACGATATAAGGTGAAAATGTCTCTACCCTTCTCTCCGTGTGAAGATGTCGATCTTTCGAAGTATTGAAAAGGACTCAGCAGAAATCTCTTTCTGCCAGACTATAAGTTGCTCGGACGGAAGAACACTAGCTTGTCAACGTGAGATTTCAATTTTCGTCACTTTTCGAGGGTGACTATGTGCTGAGCACATATGATTCCTCAATCACAAAGTTTAGCTTTCAATATCACCTTTAATGAGTTTCCGAAAGCAAAGGGATAAAAGGATAAAGGATAAAGCTCTCGACCTTGACGAATTCCTGTGAGGGATGCGCCATGCATTCGACTTTTTATGCATTGTTTGGAGGTGATTGTATGCATATCTGCGCTTTGCAATGACTCGCGGTGGCCTACCAATGTATCCAGCCAGTGCTGCTCCTGCTAACCTCCTAGACAAGTCTGGTACCAATTTGCCGACCCCGGAAGGTTGGAAGGCTTGGTGGGCCATGGCCGCAGGGATCGATTCCACGTGTGTGTTGCAAGGCGCCTCCAACTACTGCGCCACACGCTCCCTATCATATTTAAGCAAATTGATATAAGAATAAATTCGGCTACGAAGCTGGTGATAAGTTCCAAAACAAAAAAATCTCACGGAAGAACCTATTTTTCTACAGGCAGAAAGTAGCGCTTGGAGGAACTGAAAAGTGGAAGTGTAGGGAATGATTCCATGGGCCTGTGTGATAGTAGCTTTCCACTACCAGCAATGATGAAAAAGGATAAGGTCGCTACCACACCCTTTAACAATGAAGAACAAATGGCCCAAAAATTATTCTTCTACCGTCCATCCTGAAACCTTGTTAGCGCTCCCGAAATTCTCGCCTGTGGAAAACCACCCTAGATTCTTCACTCGTTAATGTACGCATTGCGGTTAAGAGAATGAGAAATGGTACAGCTCCTAAATCTGTTAAGATTAAACTCGATTAGCTTTCAACTGGAATCCATGAGTCATAGGCATTTCGATGATCTCCAGGTGTTTGTCATAAACAGTCAGCATTGTAAGAAAGACGAACGATGTGAGATGTGCGTCAGACTACGCCAATGAAGCGAAGGCGAAACCCACGTAGCTTCTCATTGCAGAATGAGACATTTGACTATTTTGAATTCCGAATAGAACTGCGGCTGCGAAACACCCACGATGCGATTTTAAACAAAGAAATCAGTGCTACTTTGGCTCCAGCGACCACATTATGTCTTCATCTACGGTGTTTAATCAACATGAATGACAACAGCTGAGAATTCTGTAGAAGAAAGCGAGCAGCAGTGCGGACCTTTCAGAGAAGCTTAGAATCACGTTACAAAGAGAAATCTTTATGGTCTTCTGTTTGACTAAATCTTCGTGCCGGGGCTGCTGTGAAACCGAGAAGTATCGATTTTAATCTTTTATCTTTACCGAAAACTTAAGCTTCGTCCATAGAGCCCTTTAACAATGTCTACTGAAAAATAAGCAGCACATGTGGCACTGTGCCAGGGTATGTAGGTCGAGATCTGCGCATTAAAACAAAACATTACCAGACCAGTCATAATGGGCGTGGTATAACTCCTTAGGTGGCCACCTACAAAATGGACAAGTGCACTTTGGCCACCACATCTCATCTGTAGTGGCAGCGGCAAACAGTGCATAAGGGCCATGTTTTCGTAGATGAAATAGACTAGCACCATAGACGGTGGTGATGAGGGAATAAAGCGAATGAAAGTGCTGGGACCGTCGCGAGTTGAGAAGACGGGTGATGGATAAAGACAGTTGTGATGACCCACACACCAAATTGAAAGCACATGCAACACATATCTCATACCAAAGTACATATCGTTAGACATAATTATGTCAAAATGCTGGGAAAATAACAGAGATTTTCTGCTAACATACGCTTTCAAAAGTAAGCTATAAATTAATGATAGCGGATTTTTTTCACTTGTTAGGAAAAAATGCTTTAAACCGAGGTGGGACTTCTTAGATGTCTTTGAACTACTCTCGAAAGAATTCCTCTACAGGAACATGTTACCTGAAAATATTGTTCGGTCAACGTTTCAACAACAACAGACGGTCTACATCACAGTGAACAGCTCTGACGGTCATATTTCTGACGAAAGTAAGATTAAGTACACAGATGGAATGAACGTACTCGGTGAGTTGGGACAAATCAATAACAATAAAATGCAAAAACGTACGATAAGTACAGTAGCTAAGATATTAGATGTGGTATCCAATGAGTGCAATGTTTCGACACCATCAAAGGGAGAATTAGGTGGCGCCGGTTGTTCCAACAACGATGAGCAACATCATGACGTTTAACGTTTTGTTTTCTGCCTTCTATAATTTTCATGGCAGGTTACTAAGCGAAATACAACCACAACGTTGCTGAGATATTTGCAAAACTCTAGACCGCAGGTGTCTATGGTGGGGAACGAACGCGCTATTGTCCTTTCCGGGGAGTAACGCGTTCACCACCACACCATGCGGGTCCACCATAGACACCTGCGGTCCAGAGTTTTGCAAATATCTTGGCAACGTTGTGATGAGCAACATCATTGAGTGATAATAGAAAATCGCTCCTGGATGCACGAAGTGGAAGTCTTAACCAACGAGATCGGCTTAGAATGCAACCAACTTACTTAGCATCTTTACAATAATGTAAATAAGATTAAGATACTCAGCTTATAAGACGTTGAGGAATGTGTGACTTCAAAAACAATAGTAATAGAACGAGAAAATGGTTACAAAATTAGCTTCAGGAACTCTGGTAGCAGGACGAGCCAGTAATAACGGAATAAAAACTGCTTGCATAACTCCGTTGAAATTCGAGGATTTCAGAAGCCTTTAGAAGAGAAAAACAGGAGTACGTGGACAAGTTGGGCATCCAGAAGAAGACTGCAAAATCTCTTCGAACTGAACCAATTACAAAACCGCGATGAACGTTCTCTGATGCTCAGATGAAATTGTCACATCATCCTAGGAGCAGGTGGTCTCCCATTTAAATTTCGACCTTCCCAGCAGCGAATTCTAATTCCATTTGTAGTGACGATTCTAGAAAGCAAACAAATTGTCCCACCTGTGTTTCCGTTTTCCAAGATCTAATACGTTACGTCGATTTTACAGCACCACGTGCCGTTGTGGTCATAACTGAACACCTGAACAACCTACTGCTAGTACTCGTCACCATGCTGGATCGGTTTATCACACGTTTACTGAAACATGTGAAAGCTACTACAGCGGTGTAAAAGCAGCAGAGCGATTTTGTTGTACAAGAAGACTAGCGTCCATTATATCATCAGAAATCATTTGATCTTTACAGTTATAAAATTCTACACTTCAAAAGTTCAAAATGTTGACATGTTTTTTCATAGAAACATTGGAAAAAGCACCCTATTCCCTTGATCCGGTAGGGGTCGTAGAAAGCCCTATAAAATCAATATATTCCCGGTCAATATCTGGAAGTTTTTTGTCAGACAAACGGACATATCACCATAAAAGTTTACCGTCCTATAATTAGATCACTGTCAACTTGAAGAACCATCAAGAGGAGGATGTCCGGAGCGGGATTTTGAACACATGAAGCAGAAGACTTGTCCAAGACGATGACTGAAAATCGGACGTGCTGCCGTATGCGTCAATGTGCCGACGGTAAGGTCTATCAGACACGAGAGCTTCAGAGGCTACTCTTCTATTAGAACAGTTAGCGAATGCTTTGAGTGGAATGTCAATCGTTAACAGAAGACCGTTATCGATGATCGATTTTCGTAGTGAAAATGAGCGAAAAGATTTGATTTCCTTCATGTGTGTTCATATCCAACTTGAACAAATTGTGTAGCTCTGGAATGCGATAGAAACGATGGAGACTCTCCTGATAACAGCTCAAAGCTTTGGAATATTGGCACAATCCAAACTAATAGAAGAGAATTTTAAGTCAACACTAGAACATGATGAAATAGAAGCTTCCTTAAATTCTTCGGCTGATCAACTGGTGTGTCACTTCAATAGCAAGAAACCAAGGCCGTGCAAATAAATATGGATAAATGAATAATGAGAAGGATAGACATTTAAGAGGTTTTTCCACCATTTTTCAAAACTCATTTAGGGCTGATCATTTTCTGTATCACGATGGGTATTGTGATCTCGCGAGTTGGTGACCCAGCCCGACCTCTCGTGGATTTTTTCATGGCACTGGATGTCGTCATAACTCGAATGGTTTTCATCATCATGTGGTATTTGAACACTTGAATTTCTTTCCTTTTCAGAGATTTTAATTTTTCTCTTGAGGTTCGGCATTATTGGAATTCCCTCACTGATTGCCCACAAGATATTGGAAGTGAATGACTTCATGGCAACTGTCCGAACTCTTTTAATGTTCATTGTTACTGTTAGTGTAGGTGAGTTCCCCATGGCGATTCACGATCCATGCTGTCTAAACCCAGCAAAATTTGATAACTAGTGTCGCTTTCAAAGCTTGAATAAGAGAATTTTCGTTTCTTTTTTTTTTCTTTAGTTCTTTTGTTTATTCCATGCCGCCCAGCACTTTTTCATTTGGTTCACTATCTTGCTTCCAAGGAGTTTTCTGACTCGCTTTTGGGTTCGACCACAGCTAAATTTTGGTTCAGAGAGAACGTTTTCCAGACAAGTCCGGTAGCAGCTTTTGATCTCGGAAGGATAGGAAACTTGGTTGACTCCGGAACAGGGCCTAAGTAGCGACCAGCGCCTGTTTCAGAGTCAATTGTTACTCTTAAACAAGGCGTTTACGAAAAATCACTACAAAGAACACAACTAACATCAATGCTTGAAAATGGTGTTTAGAATAAGGCAAGAAGAATTTTCACTTTTTTCAGCAGTTCTATAACATGTTAACGAACTTTGAAAAGAATGGATATTGTTACATTAATACTATTTAATATGCGACACATCAAAACATATTTCTACGTTCGTCCTGGTTTTTTGCTTTTGTTTGTGTTATAAGGGATATTACTATCAGACTTGTCTGGGACAAGATTATTCCCTGTAGGCAGTCCGTGTGGGAAGCTCTTGCATGGCTACCTCAGGATTCAAAGCAGAATATTCTCGACCAGCACTCAGCGACATTCATGACGAAGATGATGAAATAAGAAACAACTTAACCCGTATGAAGAAGGTTCAAAGACCCTCGTCGATGATAGATACGAGGAAACGAATCAAATGCTAGAACTGCTGGGATCCGCACAGTATAATACTTGTAATATCGGGTCGTGCAACAAAAATATTAGTAAAAAAATAAACTGAAGAGAAAAAACCTTCGGCGTAGACAAGTCTCTCAGGGTGGTTTATGAACATAGTAATTTTTTGAAGTAGTTGAACTTCTAGAATCTAAACTATTATTACAAAAATTGTCCACTGGTTTGGAAAACAAACTTTGTGCCGATCTAAATAAGTTAAACATTGCAGGACTAGCGGTCCAGTGTTTTATCATACTTCCACTCATCTACTTCGTCACCACTCGTCAGAATCCTTATCGTTTCCTGCGCGGTCTTGGTCAAGCCGTTCTCACAGCGCTGGGAACGGCTTCCAGGTGCTCAGTTTTACATAATTTCTGTTCTAGCATTGCTTTGTTTTCGCAGACTACAAAGAAACATTAATGAAACTCAATCTTGAAATAATTGAGTCAAAAGAGCAAGCTCTGATTGCATAAAACATACCAAGGATGAGGTGCCCGGCGTTGATTAGTCCCTGAGGGATTCGGCGTGCACTCGATATCCCTAACATTCAGGAAGCCTTACCGATGTATGGAGTCGATGCTGCTATCTTCGCAGACGATTCTCCTACCAATTTACCGACTCCGGGTGAATGAAAGGCTTGGTTTGCCCGAAGCACAGTATCAAACGAGCGACCCTCTGCCTATTACGAATAACCTGTTACCACTGCGCTACACGTGCCACTTTGATCTCATAGATACCAAAGTTACTCTCAGGAGCTCTCTGGACACTATACCATATCTCAAATTAGCGTTCCCGTTTCAGAAAATCGTCAAGAAATGCCAAGCATATTTATCGCCTGTTATCGGTTCATCAAGGCGTTTTCCAAATTTTATATTATGTCCATTTCTAGAAAACCATTGTTCACGATTTTAGTGCTGCCACATTGCCAGTGACGTTCCGCTGTCTACATGAAATAGGCGTTGACAGTCGAGTGACAAAATTCGTACTACCTGTTGGAGCTGTGATCAACATGGTAAGTCGTTTGCGCAGCTAGTTCGGTGCTCCGACTCGGTCCTTTAAAGATGTCAATTGGTAATGACTGTGAGTGCTGTTTGAAGAGGTTAAATTCATTTTGAAAGAGGCTGCGAAAAAAAAAATTCAATCCTTAACTAACTAAAAGAAGTCATTCATAAACAAGAAATTCCTAACTCTGGCTAATTTGAATTCGAAATGCTTCGTCGGTGAGCTTGCTAGTTGTATCTTTTCGTACCCAGGATCGACTCTCTATTAACCTCGACATTAAATTATGAATTCGTCGTTTTCTCTCTCAGCAATCGCGAGGTTGTTAAACAGCATACGTTTACTTCCATACATTTACACACATACAACACTACCGTAGGTGACGTTCCGGCATAATCGCCTTCTTAGAGCCTCAAAGGGTACACTAGTGCGCGACTTACTAGGTCAAACGCATCAACAGCACAAACAGAAAGATGAAAATCTGCACGATAATTACAAGATCTACGGCTTCTCGAAAAACATACCGCTTTTTTTTACCTGTCTTCCACCGAGGAAGAACAACCTCTCATAGTTGCGTATGGTTGACGACTGCGCCCCCCCCCCCCCCCCCCCCCCCCTCCCCCCACATCAACGATCGACACGAAGGTAAGGGGCGAGATCGCGTGTGATCTCAAGGCATTCCTCCCTGCTATTCATTGTAGGATCCTTGGCATTTATCCAAATGCCTCGAGGAGTTTGCTCGTTGGTGTTTTAGGATTACGTGCGAGGATAGCGACTTTTACATCAAAATCTCCGCTGTTTTTGTATCCTAGGCGTGCCTAGTGGCATGCCTTGTTTTGATTTTCGTTTGCCATCTAGGTGTTCTTTTATGCGGATCATAAAGGTCAGCCCGTTTCGGCGATATATTCGTCTCCGCAAGTACTACAAAAAATCAGGTATGTCGTACCTGAACTCATGACGCAGTCACCGTCCCTGCCATAAGGGCAAATCACGCAATTCTGTGTTTCACATAGACGATCGTATAGACGGTTACGAACTAACTGACGACTAAGAGTATTCGGTGGTATTTCCATTATCGTTACCGATTCCTCTAGGTCTGCCCTTTTTAAGCATCGCTTTATCGCTACGCTTATTTCATCGCTAATGAAGGGCAAAATAAACGGGACGTTGTTTCGGCCAAACCGTTCGATTTGGAGCGTCGCTGTCCTTCTTAACTTATCTCGTGGGGCTACTATCTCGTAGCCATTGGAGATGGCTATTTGCCGAGCCAGGTCGCGCGATTCTTCCTTTAGTTCGCTGGATATGCACACAGAGGTGGTTGGAACATGTTTCACACAAGCGCCCTCTTTGTGTGTGAAGGGTGGGAAGAAAGAAAATGAACAAGGATGTTTTTGTTACTTGGTTTTGGTACCACGTTGTCATATAACCGTTACTTGGTAAGTTAACTTGAACGTTAGAAACGGGAGCAAGTCGTCTTTCGGTTTCTCCCGGGTGAACTTGATATACTCTGACTGCTCGTTCAGTAATTCAAAACATTTGTCCATCTCCTTGTGTGTTGAGAAGACGACAAAACAATCATCTATATACCTGCAGTATATCTTTTCCTTGAGGATGGAACTGCTCTCTACGAAGCGACTGCGTCCGTTTTTATTGCTCAAATGAATGGAATGGAATTAACACTCGGACAAATATTGACAGTCAGGTAAATGAATGTAGGCTTATTCAGTCTAAAATCCCAACATCTTGGAAGAAATGTTTCGAATGAAATTCAAACGAGCCTATCCAAATTTTTTGAACAAAAAAAAACAGTGTTAAGAATACTTCCACGTTCTGATAGACTAAAACGATAAAGGCTTGGGCGTTGACCAATCTCAAAAGGATTGGCATGTATTCGACTTCACTAAGCATAGTTAGAGTTTGTTGAATGGATATCTGGGCTGAACGTTGGCTTACGATGGCTTCTGGATGTATCAAGCTAGTATTTGCTCCCTCCCAGATAAACCTGGTACTAATTTGCTGACCCCGGCAGATGGGGTTCTTTGTGAACCGCGGCCAGGGAATCGAACCAAACAGCGACCTTGTATGATTTTTAGGACATCTTTGACTACTGCATTCCATCGGTTGGTGTATTTGAATGAAATAACCTCGTCTGCAGCTCTAAAAACAGTGTTCTGGTTGGTAGGGCAAGTCATCAGCGTCTATGAGCTTTTTACACCTGTTAATAGGAAGCACGTACAATTTTGTTGATATTCACTTTCATAATAGCAGTTTCGATTAATAAAGGAGCTATCCCTACCGGTCGTACAGGGTTGTGCCCACACATTCACTCCTTTGGTTCCTCTGCAATCGCCATTGGTGGAGATGGTCGGTTTCGTCTGTGAAGTTCGCGGATGACTTTTAGATTTCTCGCCTTCCTCCTCCATTAACACCTTAGTGCTAATAGAGCATGCCTCTTCCTGGATTTCCTAGTTAACCTTGCTAAAGCTTTCGCAACGCTTTGTCAGAGGCAGGGACATCTGTGGTTGACGGAAAGGTGCTTCTTGAGTCATTTGTTAAAAACGACAAATACTCCCATATTTAGTCGGGGCCCTAACGATAATCGTTTGAAACACTGAATTTAATATCCACTTCTAAGATAGTTTCGGGTACACGAATAGTACGTTGCTAAAATGCACGGTTGTCTATATTTCTCTACAAAAATCAAAATTGTCGAAGTAGCTGTTGGTTTTCAGCATTACTGCCACACTGGCTTCAATCGGCGCCGCTTCGATACCAGGTGCAGGTCTTGTCACGATGACGATCGTATTGACGGCACTTGGTCTTCCGGTCAACGACATTTCACTCGTCGTAGCCGTCGATTGGCTAATGTTGGTTTTCGATTTCTGTTTCATTGCATAAATTCCACATTATTTCTTTCTGTGTTCTAGCAAATGAGCCATTAATCCACCTTCTTGAGCTCTGGTCTTTAATTATGGATAATAGTAAGGAAGCAAACACACTGTCCATTACATGTACTTTAAACATCGTGACTGGTAAGCAGTACGATCAGATCTGAGCTACGATGATGCATTTCGCAGATAAATCAATGCATAAGTAAATACTACGGTTGGGAACTAGCTCTGCATTCCACAGCTCTTCCTATACTCAAAAATTGTTTGCCACAATTTCGATAGACGATTGTGGCCAGTTACCAATTCTGTGAGGTGGCAAAATTATCAATTATTTGAAGACCACAATTCTTTAGATTTAAAAGGTCGAGGAAGGAGGATGTTTGAATAAATGTCTAAAGATCGTTCGTTCACATTCCTTCGGTACTTCGGTGGCTTGCCTTCTTCACATGAGATCTTGCCCCTAGCATGTTTTCTGTCCATTTCTTTCCTTCGCAATCGTGGCACATGGCGGTTCTCTCATATCTCCACAATGATATCTACTCGATTTTTTTGAGATCAATTCTACCGTTATTCTTTCCCAGGCGTACCCCACACTTCTTATCCCATGACAGAACCATCTATCTGCTGTTCAGTGTAAGATTTCCGACTGTGCAATATGAAACTATGAGAGTTTCTCATCAAAACGATTGTTGACCTTTTGTGACAAATTTGTCGGTAAAGGAACTACTTGTTTCGATTCAAAAAAGTTTAAAGCAAAAAGAGATTCCAGGATCGACTTTCTTTTAACCTCGGCATTGGAGTATGAATGCGTCGTTTTCCTGTTCAGCAGTCGCGAGGTCATTAAACAGCATACGTTTACTTCCATACAATAAAACACACACAACACAATCGTAGCTGACGTTTCGGCAGCATTGATGCCCCAGGAATTGATGCGAACATACGGGGTCAGGTTGCGTATAACCTCTGGGCATTCATCATTGTAGGATTTTTGGCATTTATCGAAAAAGCCTCAAGAAGTTTTCGCGCTGGTGTTTTAGTCTCCTGTGCAAGGATATTGACTTTTACTTCAAAATCGTCTCCGCTGTGCTTTTGTATCCTATGCGTGCCTAGTGGGGTACTTTGTCTTAGTTTTCGTTTGCCATCTAGGTGTTCTTTTACACGGATACACAAAGGTCTGCCCGTTTCGCCAATATATTCATCTTCCGCGATTATTACAAGAGATCAGGTATATCGTACATGAAATGCAATCACCGTCCCTGCCGTAAGGGCAAATTACGCAATTGTTGTTTTACATAGACGGTCATACAGGCGGTTACGAATTAATTGACGACGTAGAGTAGCCGGTGGTATTTCAACTATCGCTACCGATTCCTCTAGACCTGCCCTTCTTAAGCATCGTTTTATAGCTACGCTTACTTCATCACTTATAAAAGGCAACGTAAAAGGGACTTTCTTTTGGCCAAGTGTTTCGCTTGGGCGCGTCGCTGTCCTTCTAAAATTATCTCGTGGGGTTACTATTTCGTAGCCATTGGAGATAGCTATTTGCCGAGCCAAGTCGAGCGATTCTTCCTTTAGTTCCCTGGTTGTGGACACAGAGGTGGGTGTTCGAAACATGTTTCTCACAAGCGCCCTCTTTGTGTGTGAAGGGTAGGAAGAAAGAAAATGAAGGAGGACGTTCTTGTTACTTGGCTTTCGGTATCACTTTGTCAAGTAACCGTTATTTGATGGGTTCACTTGAACGTTTAAAAATGGAAGCCAGTTTTTTCTCGGTTTCTCCCGTCCCGGGTTAACTTTATGTACTCAAACTGCACCATCAATAATTGAAAGCATTTGTCCATCTTCTTCTGCATAGAGAAGGCGAGAAAACAATCATCTACATATCTGCAGTACAGTGGCTGGACCTGGAGAACAGGAGCTTCTATCTTAGACATAAACACAATGGCAAGGCTTGGTGCCAGTCGTTGTCCCATTGCCAACCCACTTATCTGCGCGAAATATTTCCCAAACCATCTGAAAATCGAGCAATTTAGGCACTCCTTTAAGAGAGCCATTGGCTGCTGCATAAACAAGCCATGCATATTTATTCTTCCTTCATGTTCAATGGGAAGCTCGAAGATGGCTTGCATTGCGGAGTCATTCGACACGTTGGCGTTCAACACGGTAACGTCGAAGGCTCACGTATGCGTTATTAGGAGACACGTTACGTAGACGTTCTAGGAACATTTGGGTGTTTGTGAGGTGAGCTGGAATGTGGTTAAGCAACTGGATAAGTATTGGGCTTAAAACCCAGGTTATTCTATTCATTGGTCCGTCTACACAACTGATGGTGGGTCTAACCTTAAATGATGACGGATTGGTTGACCCAAATCATCAGGTGATACCAGCTTGTGTGTTTTAATGAGTAGATATAGGATGGAACGTGTTGGTTTATCGATTTTACAGTACAAAATAACCGATGATTTTAAACCTACAGCCTTTGCCACACTAACCCATTGGTTGTTTAGCTTTCGGTATTGGCTTTTATATTTTCAGAGGATGGGCGATAGAGGGTAGCGAGGATGTTCCTCTGTTATCTCAACATCCAGCTGGCAAGGAATAACTACGAACTCTCCCCTCTTATCACTAACAGACAATCTTATTGTTTTCGAGTTTACTAGTTCTCTAATTTCTCGCATACTAGATTTTTGTGCGGCTGTAAGGTTAGAGAGAAACTTTCTATCGCGGTAGTGATTAACAGCCTTGAGAACGCCGTCCGTCCGAAAACGCGGAATTTTATGTCAGGTCCACCGTTAGGGTCCTGCTGTCTCAAAACGTTTTAAGGAAAGGAGATGGTGATAGCGTCGCCCTCTCTTGATTTTTATCTCTATTTGATGTTCCATGTTTGGCCTGATAACGGAGTCGATCTTGAAGCTTATAAAGGTTGTATGCTATCCTGCACAGGTCGTTTTAGAAATGGGCTGTTATGTTGCAAAACTCGAGCCCAATTCTAATAGCCAATGCGCACTCTCAGGTATTCTTATGCCCCAATCACGGTGACCCTAGATTTTCTTGGTGCATTATTAACCCTATTTTGACTATTATCAGAAACGTAAGGAATTCGTTTGCGGTTGTTTCTTGAAGCTGAGACATGTGAATTACTCAAAGGATTTTCGAATTTTCGTTGTAAGGTTATTTTGGCAGCGAGGTAACGTATGATGCGGTTCCTGTGATCGAACCGTCTATTTCAGTGTGTTCTCCATCACATAGTGAATTTTCCATTAACTAGATTATCTTATGGTTTTCTGGTTTTCTGCAGTTCTATCCTATTTTCTCGTCGGAGCTCTTTGATACTTCTTTAAGATGTTCCCACCAAATACGATTTATTTTTGCAATTGCTGACGATTACAAGAGTTCCTTTCCAAGTTTTCACTAGATCAAGCTTTCACACAGAAGAGAAGAGACATTTATCAGTCTCAGTGATATATTTTACGTTATCTTTTTTCTTTTGCGACTGTTTTCGAAAAATGAATTGCAATGAAATATGCTGTCAACACCCCAGCAGACCCCAGCACTGCATTTTATAATCCTATTTCAGTCCATATTCTGGAACTATTAATCTTGCATTCACCTTTGATGACCCTTATTAATCTGGCATTAAAGTCTGCGACAAATATTTTATAGGACTTCTTGTTGAAAAGAGCGCATGTTGCGCAGTTGTTGGAGGCGCCACTGCGACGCACACGTGGAATTGATCCTGACGCCCACTGCCCATCAAGCTCTCTATCCCTCCGGAGTCGGAAAATTGGGTACCAGACTTGTCTAAGAGGTTAGCAACACTGGTTCGATGCATCGATAGGCCACCGCGAGTCATTGCAAAGGCCAGATATGCATTCCATCACCTCCAAACGATGCTTAATGAAGTCGAATGCATGGCGCACCCTCAGGGATTGATCAAAGTCGAGAGCTTTATTCTTTTATTCTCGTTGAGAAACGTCTTGTTTATTGGCCGATTCCTCTAATATCCATACAGTTCACTTCCATCAGCTGAAAATGATAATTTATCAGTCTAGACCAGTGTTTTTAACAAAATATTAAAAATGGAGTATAGTGAAACGTGATAAATTTGCCTCATGGATTAATGATAGTGTACGATAGAACTTCTCCGACAACAGTTCATGACAGCTACTTATCTTCGCTAGTTGACAAGGTTCCTTTTTCTTCTTATGTCCTTTCTTTTCACTCGCTGCTTGGCTCTTTGCTGATGTGTAACAGGGAAAGTGCTCAGGTTGCGAGGCGTTCGTTTGGGTCTATTATCTCAGGCGGCTTTTTTCTTCAGAGATACTGGATATGTGTGTCATAGTGTTCCATCAGCGTGACTAGAGGTACTCGTCGGTCTTTGCGGATCGGACTACTTAATCATCATGGGCTATATGAGGTGTTGTCACCTCACTACTAAATTTTCGTGAATACATCTCCGGTTTTTGGAACAGATTTACTACTAGTTCGGCTCTCGGACATAAGTGTTGATTTCCAAACTTTTTTGTCTCGTTGTCTTTTCTCTCTTCTTTAATCTCACTGCTGATGCAGAATAGAAGAGTTGGCTGTAAAAAGGCAAAAAAAAACCAGTGTTGATTTCATTTTCTGTTTTGATAAGGTCTCGAAGGTCGATGAACCCTCTGTTATACAACGTAGTGTGACGTTCAGAAATATTCATTTTCCTATTTAACAAGCATCAAGCCGGCAAGGAAGCGGAGCAAAGGGAGTTAAAAGAACATTAATGACTAATAATATTTGCGGAAATACGAAGAAAATACATACACTTATTTAGCGATCGCCTTCGAACTTCAGTGAACGTCATAGGCGATGCTTTCGGATGCGGTTTCGTCTACCACCTGAGTAGAAAAGATTTAAGTGAATTGACAGAAAAAGAAGTTGAAACATTCGACGAACGAAATCATCATTTCTTGCACAGTGTAAGAAGAATGAATTCCTCATTTATAGTATGGTAATTTTTTCTTTGAATTATAATTGTCATTCATATCCAAACATGAATTTCCAGAGCTGTCTACTATATTTGCTATTTCAAGGCGTGTAGTAATGCAACAAAGGAAAATTGAACAACAACTTCTATAGTAACAAGGTCTAACGAGTTTACAGTTAGTCCACCGAATCCATCAAAATGTTCCAAGAGTGTGATCAGCGGGAAGATATATGGGCAAAATTTGGTACCCCATTCTAAGCTTCGAACCCACGATTACTCCATTAGCAGGAGCTCACATGTTATCCACCACATTAAGCGAGGCCCTTACTTTACCTTCTCTCAGTCTCGTTTTCACTTTATTGGTGCTACCAGTAATCACTCGTCGACGGCCTGTGGTGGATAGCAGATAAGCCCAGCAAAGGTTATCGTAGGTTCGAAACTCGGCTGAGGTTCCAACTTTTATTCCCACTTAGCATCTCTTTGATTGTACTTCACGACATATTTCGTTTCACACTTGATGTGCGTATCCCAGCACGTGAGCACCAGTAAGGGTCATTCCTTCCCGGTCACTTTACGGAGCTACTCTGTGGACCACCCGCACTCTAAGGGATCACAGGGGCTCTAGTCTTTTTATACAACATTTTTATTTTTACTTTTTCCAGTGACGAAATACCCAAAAAAAAGTATTCTGAGCGCTTCTGTTGGTCACCTTTAGCTCTACTTCTGAAATAAAAATGTGGTATATTCACATGCATGAAACTCGATTTCAACAAAAAGCGCCAATGTTTGAAGAGGAAAAACATTGCATGAATTCTCGCATAACCCAATAATATTTGTTCAAGTCAACACTTAAAAGGCTTCCAACAAGGGGTGAGACAGAACACTTCGAAATGGAAAGAACATGTAAAGTTTGCTGTAAATATTATCATAACATCACCACAATTGAATAGATGTTTGTAGTCTTCTAACTGCCAAATTTGGCTATTTTCCAACGAAACAGTGGGTGTTTCTTGCTGAGTGTTTCGTTTTCATTCATTTGCTTTCGTTCTATCCAGATTTCTTGTATTTCTTGAATGTAGATTTCCTTCTGCAGAAAAACGATGTGAATGAGTTTGGAGACGCCAGCAACAGCCAGAGCACCAACAAATTGACTCTGAACGTCGGTTGAAATGATCAGCGACCTTCGGCCTTTCGTCAAGCAACTCCTAACAAGAAAATCAATGCCAACAAATTGTCCTTTACTGATTGTATAGTCATTACAGCAAATGCATATTCAATAGAAAATGACAGAAACCAATTTCTTTCTTAATTATATTTGACACCAACCCGTTAAGCCCTCTAACGCAGTAGCTGAACAATGTTGATTTCGATTCTTCGAACTTTTCCAGCGATTTCATACTACAGAGCAATGACCTACACGAGATGTGCTCTTAACAAGTAGTCGTCGATGACTTTTTTATTTCATTATTAGAACTAAGAAAATGAGGTGTATAGACTTTTCAAGCTGTGTCTGCTTTCTACAATAAACTCTTCAGAATCGGTCAAATTTCTCTGCTGTTCTTAAAACGAACACAACAAAAGCACTGACATCCTTCATTTTATGTTTTTGTGGAATTCCTTACATCCATACCCATACACACAACCTAATATGCACTTAAAAACGAGAACTATCTGGTTGTGCGTAAACTTGTGACGATCTCCCTGCAGAGAAGCTCCTTCCAAAAGCATTGCCGGTGCATCGGGAGACCCCTATCATTCTCCACAAAATTACGATTTAGTGGTTGCAGGCAACTAAAAGACAAACTTTTTACGCTTCTTTCTTCAGTAAACGGGTAGCAAAAGACTACAATAAGTTAATCTGCAATTTTCCATGTGATGTCGTCATATTTTCATGGGTTAATTATCATTAACTTCACAATTTTTTCAAGTGTTCACGGGAAAGCTAGACTATGATCTAACGGGAAAAATTAGTGGACTTAATTCCACAAAAAACCAACAACTACAGCGTCTAACAAATTTCTCTATTCATGTTTCTTCTCTCTTTGTTGCCTTTGAGCTTTCACCTATTCATGTCAATACCCATATTTCATAGACAGTCCGAATTATGTATTAAGTTCCTCCTTAGTGACATAAAATCCTTCGGCTACACTAAAACTTACAAGGAAAAAAACCGTTTTATTGAAGAGAAACAAACCAACATGGCACACTGAAAACAAGTTCTGTGCCATATCTTTCCTGAAGCCTCCACATACTTCAAGTCAATGCCTTTATTGCAACCTGAGAGAGAATTACTTTATTTTCCTGCTACTTGGTGTTTTTTGTTTTCAAGTATCGGATTTCATGTATTAGCACACTTCGAAAGTTAGAGAGCTGAAGGCAATTTCCAACTACGACGTCCTCTATGGCAGAGAATGCTGCCTACACCGGTGGACGGATAAAGCTGCATAATGTAGCGTCTACTAATCCTGTCAACCTCGAGTGTGCTTAGCAAATTCCATCTTGCTTTAGTTTATAAACCTCACAACAGTCTATGCCATGACGAATAAAACCCAAAATATAATATATGAAAGCAAAAGCAGGTGTCCAGTTTCAGCGTGGTCTTTAGCATTTTAGGATATTGAATGGTAAGTGCTCACTCTTCAATGGTTTGCCTCCTTTTCGCAATTGAGAGGTGATCTTGAGTACTAGATTTGGTGTACAACGGGTGTTTATCACCCACCACAGCTGGATCTGGCAATCTGAGGAGTTTGACGTTTACATTCGGAAGCCCGGTTTAGAGCAAACCAATGCAAAGAACCAGAGTCGTACTGATATCAAATAGTCGCAAAGGAACAAATTTCCTTCTGATCCACAAAGGCTGGTAACGGCTTATAGTGGCAATCTGAAGGAAGCTTCAGTTGTGGTAACATCGAAACTTCAGAGACCACAAACAGCTTAATCAGTAGTGTATCTTCTTCAGGGCTCCGAAGATTGGGCACACTCCTGTCTACGATTTGGTGAGGTGTGACAAGCGATGAGAGACGATCGTATCTGGATTTGCTCTATTAGAACCGGACCAAGCGAACACATCCGCAACAGGCTATGGAGACCGTTTTTTGTCCCGCACCTATAACATCAGAACGATCGCCTCAAATGCCGAACGTTATGCTTTTTTTGAGGCCGTTGGTCCCACTAAGTCCATATGGTCACCTCACAAGAGAAGAGAAGCAGCAGAACCGACATATGCTAATTAAATCATGAAGAACTTGTTTGTTATTCGTGGAGGGAAAGTTTTGTCATGAAATGTCGCATGAGAATGTTTTGCCGTTCACCCGTTTGTTACCCTTTGGATCGCCTCATACAAGATACTATGACCTCGTTTGGCTATTCTTCACCTCCCACTTCATCATCAAAAGAAGTTTGGTATAATCAATTGCTGCTCACCAACTTGAATACCCTATGAAAGCGAACTAGACCCTTTCTACAATAAGCTGAAAAAGTAATCTACAATGAAAAGCTTTTCAACAAACTCGTTGTTAGAGACTTCAATTCCAGATTAAAGACGGCTAGCGAAACGGAATAAAGCAAGTGAAAGGAAAATTTGACTTGGGAGCTCAAAGCGAGGACGAAAAAATGGAAAAGAAGACTCTTGAATGACTTCCATCTTTTGTATGTTTCATCCATGAGAATTTATTTTTGGAAAAGACAGAAAATAGCCGATGGACATGGGAGTCTCCTAACTATGGGACTTGTGTGAAGAACGGCAGCGTTCTCACGAAGGGAAGGTGGCGCCTCTCTGGCACCTTATTTGTGTCATCATTCTGTGTTGGATTTGATCACAGCCTCTTCCTTGGAGAAACTCTGATTACATAAATCACATTATATCAGTGGACATAGAAAACAAAGTGAGAGGAATCAAAAAGAAGAAGGAGAACAGAGTGGCCTGCTTTCGTGCTTCTCAGATAAATTAGCGACCGACTAATGGGCCCGGAACTCGGCGTTTACGTTATCGACTCAGTGGTTCTCCCAACACTATTTTGTGCAACAGAGACGACAACTGACATCATTTACGTCAGGAACTCTGCGCGTCACCCACAGAGCGCTTGAAAGGTGTCTGCTGAAATATAATAATATAACTGGAGCACAAAATATCTAATCGGATTGCACAACTTAGATCTTGGAGTCCTATCCAATGTTCCAGATATAGGATAACAAAAGAAGAAGAGGAGGTTATAGATGAGCAAGAAGAACAATGAAGTGGACTCCAAGACATTTCAAACGGCTCCTTGGACGACATATGAAGCAATGGAAGAAGGGGACGTGTTCTTGGCTAACTCCAAACATCAGTATTCACAGATGAAAACCATTATAGGATTAATGAATGTGCCTCGTGAAAGCCATCATACTCATAGTAGCCACTAGCCACGACCAAGGATGACGATTCAGCGAGGAGAAACGAATAGAAGATGTCCTGGGATACGCATTACTAGTGAACACGGGTGAACCAAGTATCCAAATATGTAACGGCTGTAAATATAGTAACTATTCCTTAAATAGTTCCTATTTCTTCGTTACCTTATGTCTTCCATAATAATTGCTTTACTTGTAATCGTCATACATCTACTCTTGCACATTCTGTAAATTGTCTCTTAACGACCATTTCATGCAGTTGCCTCGCAGGCGACTGGAAAGGGAATCAGCAGCAGTTGGCTGAATGTACCTTCCAGCATCTGCCGTCCCAAAAAGTTTCCGAACGAGCATCTGCGCTCTTTCACATTTAGCCCTATAATATTGTACTAGTAGAAAAAACCTTTAGAACCTTTCTCTAGGGCTGTCTTTAGTTCCCCCTGGCAAAGCTCCACCCACTACAGAAGTAATACGGGCAGCCCATCGGCATTCGTCTTCAGATGTTCGTTCAGTGTTCATCTAATCTCTCAGTTCTCCAACTCTCCGCCTGGCTTCCTTCAGTTGTATCATTGTTCTCATTTCAATCTCGCTCGTATGTATCCAGCTAACCACATTTCGTCATATATCACATATTATTAATGT